ATATAATTTTAACAAAAGTTCTCGAGTCATTATCGAACATCAATTATTTACAAATAGAGAAAAGCTTAAGAAGCAAGTATGTCATTTTTATATAATCATTAAGCGATATGCCACATGATCATGTCATATTCACGAAATTATTCAAGAGGCAGTGATTTTCTGATCATATTCTCGAAATGCATGGTACTGAATCAGAAAATTGTAGACGTAACGCGAAACATAACTGAAAAATCATGAACACAACACAGAACATCACAATAGAAGCTTGGACATAATTATTTTATTTCTCGAGTAGTTTCATATACATGACTACGTAGTTCAATATTCACAATTGTGGACGTGTGGCATACTCTTAGCGATTGCATCAAAACGATGACCATGATCACTCTCAAGCTTCTTCCTCATAGTTCATGGAGGAATTTTAACATCATCTATATAGGATCAAAATATATAAAACTAAAATAATCATGTATCACATTAAAACTTTATGCAAACGCACATATATTACATACTAAATGTCTTGGATAATTCTCACAGAAACAATATCTCAGATACTTCTTTCTTACAAAAACAATTTTTCATAAAACAAGAATAGTGGGGTTTATCACTCTTTATTAAAAGAAATATGTACAGATACATCTGTAATTAAAAGAACACAAGAATTATTCTGCATCTTCTTCATCATCATCTTCCTGACTGTTAATCTGGAAATATCGTAATTCATATGTTTCTTTGTCTTTTGACACCACTCGCAGCCAATCACGCAACTTGTTCTTCTTCAAGTATTTCTTCGTCAAGTATTTAAGGTATCTATAGTAACAAAGTTTTCTAAATCAGTGCAAATATCGCTCTTTCTGTATCTTATGATAACAATGAGACATCTATTTTTCATTGCTGCACTAGATTACTCTAAAATTTTCATTTTTTTTAAATTAAATCTCAAACATATATTTATTTTATTATAAATACAAGTGTACACTAGTGCAACTATAAAAAATAAACTTTTAATATCACTCTATATAAAGTTCTACATATTTTGTGACTAATAACTAAAAAAAATCAATCAAAGAACAACAAAAATTATCGTGTCCATTTCCAACAGAGTTATAAAACTAAATCACAATAAGTCAATGCACAATAATTATTATAAATATATGATATATGATTACAAAAATCTAATGCAATATGATTGATACATCATGCGTTTTAACAATTATTGTACATTGACTTGTAACTCTGTTAAAAATACATAGTTATGATATCTGAATCTTAATGATCAAACTCCTTTATTCATCGCTTTCTATGATTATTGTAATTAAAAAAAACACAACGTTACCCACCGCTTCGAGAAATCGATATCACTGTTGATGGTAAGTTTCATCTTGTTACGCTCTAGGACAACATTGTTGCCAAAATTATTAGTTTTACCACCAACTTTGATTTTCTCATGCAAATATTTTTCCTGAAAAATTACCATTCCATAATAATTCACGACGTAACACGGTCAAAATTTTAGCAAACATCTTGCATTTTAAAATAATTTCAGATTCTATGTTTAGAGGTTAAGAATAAGCGAGCAATAAGTTAGGTTATATCAAGCTCGAGGTAATTTTGTATAACTTGTAAAAACTTCTTATTAGAAAAGAATAATATCATAAGAATAAAATAATTAAATAAATTAAAATAATTTTAAATAAACTTACAAAATTGCTGACATCCATAATATTATCCTCCACAGGATGCGTGCAGTCAATAGTGAACCTCAGGGACACCTTTTTCTTCTGACCCTTGCCCCGAAGGACTTGCTTCTTAACTGAGCCTTTCGATTTCTTCGCCGTCTGAAAATTCGCAACCAATAATCTTTAAATGACAATATTATCATAGTTGTGAGACACGTGCGGAAGCGGCGAAGCGTCAAAGTATGGACAGGATGTATGCGAATCGGACTCGAGTAAAGTGATCTTACGATTAAACGAAAAGCCGAAGCGTCGCGATTGATAAAGTAAATATGTTTTCTCAGTGCACGGCATTATTTCGAGAGGATTTTGCGATAATCACAAATAATTAACATATTTTTGTTGGAGCGCAGACCTACCGGAGCCATGTTAACGTCTATTCGAAGAATGAAAGAACCAAAAAATTGACCAAGGTGTACAAGCTGAGACTGGAAACTTTCTGAAACTGGAGGTTTCAGTTTTAGTACCCCGCGAATCCTTGGTGGCGCTGCTATCACTGAAAAATGCAGCGGCAATTTTTTAAAATATAGACAAAGTCTATGCTGTTAGTTATTAGTTACATCCGTTATTGCTATTAATCATTGTTACTTCAAGTGTTCACAATAGCAGTAAACGAAATAATTAAATGATTGAAGAGAATTCATTTCATCGTTCGCAAAT